CATATCACATTTCTTAGACTACCTCTCCTTCAGATTCTCAGACAAACATTAATATCTGAACTCAAACAATGCTGTCCCTTTGAGGACATATTTATAGGTTTTTAAATCCTTTTTAAACATCAAATTTTAGCTCCTGGAAAAACACACTTTTTTTTCACACATGGAAGCCTTTGAAAGATTTCTCTTGTGAATTTTGATGGAACAAAATGGTGATTTCCTTAAAATAAAATGATACATTTAATTACTATTTTAAAGCAAGTCCCAACATTTCTAAATAAGAATCTTGGCCATAAAGTCATGCTGCATAAAGTGCTATGCAAAAGAGCATTACCAAAGCATTCAGAAATGTTACAGTGGTTTTCAGAATGGTTCTAGAAGCCAAAGATCCTGGAATGACACTCAATAAAAACCAACAGCCTAGAATCAGTATCTGGATATAATACAACATGTATTCTCTCTGGCTTCCAACCCCACAGCATTTCAGTAGAAATTACCTTTCTGGGCATAAGCATCTCAGAAGTAGACATCCCCTACTGATAAAAGAAGCAAAGAGCTTCCCATCCATAAATGCAACCTCCATCTCATGACCCAACACCAATATTAATTTTCTAGGTGTGGGAAAAGATAAATCATGAAGTTTCTTTTATGAGTAGACTATTTTACAATGTCCCCCCTCCCCCAGAAGGATGACCCTGGCTATAGCATCCATGGACTATGACACAAATGGAAGGTCTGGAAATCCTGGCAGATGATGCCCACAGACAGAAAATGCCAATGGAGGCTGAGAAAGCAAGGTTGAGATTCAATGCCCTGACAACTAGATACAGGCCAGGGATTTATCCATCTTTCCTTTGGAAGTACTTTCCATCGACAGCCGTGATCACTCTCCCCATGATTCTAGTCTGCTTTTCTATTGCTGTGATAAAAAACACCGACCAAAAACAGCTTCAGGAAGAAAGGGTTTATTTGGCTATGGGTTACAGTCCATCACGGGGAAAAGCCACCTTGGGAACTCAAAGCAGAAGCTTGAAACCACAGAGGAATGCTGCTTATTGGCTTGATTTCTATACAACCTAGGCAAGTCCGCCTGCTCAGGGTGGCACTGTCCACGGAGGGCTGGGCCCTCCTCCATCAATCAGCAATCAAGAAAACGCTCCACAGACATGTCCACAGGCTGATCTGACAGAGGCGGTTCCTCCAGTTCCTCAGTTGAGAGTCTCTTTTCCCAAGTATGTCTAGATTTGTGTCAAGTTGCCAAAAATAGAATCAGTGCACCCAGTGTTTTTGATACCTTCTAGATCATAATTTGGTTAGCTGGTTACCCCTCTAACCTGCCCAAAATAGAAAATTAACTAGGATCTAACTATGGTTTTTCCATGTATCTGGTGAGCCAATTTATCTTGATCAAATTGATCCTTTCAGTATTCTTTCTTGGCAATTATTAGTTACTAATAAAGGCAGAGATGGAGATTAAAGACACAGTATTTCTAAAAGTGTAGTTGTTTTTAAAATTTCAGCTATCTTCTGTATGTGCTAAAGATAAAGGACTATGGTCAACTTAGCCATGCAGGAATAAGCACCACCCATGCCACAGTGACTCTCATTTCGTTATTTACAAGACACATTCAACAGAGCAGAGAGGAGAAACAGTGTCACTGTGTGTATTTCTGTTGAGGGACGACTGCAACTCAGCAGCTTTCTTCCTTTACAATATGTGCAGGTCCAAGGTCGTGGTGAGCTGATTGTCTACCACAGAAATGAAGACAGTAACTCAGTGAACTGATAATCTACCACAGAAATGAAGACAGTAACTAGGTTAACTGATAGTCTACCACAGAAATCAAGACAGTAACTCAGTGAGCTGATCATCTACCACAGAAATGAAGACAGTAACTACATATTTGACGCTTCCTCACAGTTGTTTATTTTCTCATTTTTTGTATTTTTGTTGAGGTTTTCTTTTCTTTTTAATAATTGTAATAATACTAAGTACTAGGTTTCATTGCAGGTTCTACATACATGTGTGTCATCACACTCATTCTCAGTCATTTCCTTCTCCACTGTTCCTACATGCTCCCTCACCCCTGCACTGGTTCTTTACCTGGGTTAGTTCTCCACTTTTACGTCCCAAAAGTAAGTGTACTTCATTATTATATTTTCTGCCTCCCTTAAGATATCTTCCTCTCCTCCCATGAGCTCCTTTCTAGACTCATGACCTATAATCACACACATAAATAATATAAAACACACACACACACACACACACACACACACACACACACACACACACACGACTAAAGGTCTGTCATATATGGTCTTTATGTTGAAGAACTTTATTTCTATTCACGATTTCTTCAAGGCTTTCATCAATAAAGGGATACTGAACTTTGCTGAAGGCCTTTCCTGCATCAATTGAGATGATCATGTGATATATCTCCTTAAGTATATGTATATGATGGATTGTATGTGATGATTTGTGCATGTTGAATTAACAGAAATGAAGGCCCATTGGCGATGGCTCACAGATGAGTTAAAAAGGGTTTGGAATGTATAAGATAATCAGTGTAAAGTTTTCCTATTATCAGATGGAAAGGAAGAGCTAACAAAAAGCTTTTAAGTCAGTAGACTAAGTGTTCTTACTTGGATTTAGAGTTAATTGTCAAATCAGTGGTCCTTTTTGACCACAGTGACTCAGAGAAATCAACTTAATGCTACCTAAATTATAGCTGTAAATTTCTCAAGCCTAGGACTTCTTATTCAATCATTAAAAAATAATTCTCCTTCTCTTATATAATTAGAATAACAACTGTCAAAGGAATTGCCATACCAATCATTTTAGCCACTTATTGAGACCACAGAGGGGCTGAATATACACAATAACTCATGTGACCATTCAGGTAAACACAACCTAAATTCCACTTGACAAAGTACACATTTTTGGTAAAGCCAATAAGTAAATATGGCATGGGCTAGAGGCCTCACAAACATCACTCTTCCTTTTACCACCAGTCCTTGCTTTTGGACTTTGGGTTTTTAGCACTGAAACTTCTGCAGTGTTTTAAGAGCAGGTGTCCCTTTACCACCTGACTTCTGAACTGAAGGTGGGACATCTGTGCTTAGTTATAAGCAGATGCCTTTCAAAACATCTGGACCAAATAAAGAACCTTTGTCTCTTTGCTACTAAAAATGACTGGTCTGCAAATTTCAGTAGATGGAGCCACACAATATATAAATGATACTGAAGACAAAAATGGAAAATTAGTAAATTAAAAAAACTGTAATAGAACTTGTGTCATTGGTTTTAGGGAGAAATACTGAATAAGACTTTTGAGATTTTAATCAATAAGATTAGTTCCTTGACACTTCCATACACGTGTATAATGCATTCTGACTACTCTCACTCCTAACCCTTCTTAACTCTCTCCTGCCAATCCGAATCCCTTCCCTGTAGTCATGTCTTTTTGTTTTGTGTTGTGAACCACCAAGCTTAACCAGTGCCATCTGAGTGATCATGGGTTTGGAACTGTCCATTGGGGCCTGGCAGGCTCACCAGTGGGTACATAAAGACAATGACTCTTCCTTTCCGAGAATCTATCTGTAGCGCTTAGTTCAGCATGGAGGGTGTGGTTGTTTGAATGAGAATGGCCGCTATAGACTCATATATTTGAATACTTGGCTCCCAGTTAGTGGAACTGTTTGGGAAGGGTTAGGAGGTATGGCCTACTAGGAGGAGGTGTGTCACTAAGGGTTGACTTTGAGGTTTCAAAAGACTTGCACCTTTCCCATGGCTCTTTCTGTTGCCTACTTTGCATTTTGAGATGTGAGCTCTCAGCTGTTCCTGCTGCCACGCCTTCACTCTGCCATCATGGACTCTGACTCTCTAAAACTATAAGCTCAATTAAATGCTTTCTTTCATAAATTGCTTTGGCCATGATATTTTATCACAGCAATAGAAAAGTAACTAACACATAGATTAGAACCCCATGAAGCCTCCCACATCCAGGAATGATGATTGACAGAGCCAGTCCTGAGCAGGCCAAAGGCAGGCAACCACAGCTGCTGTGAGTCTATGACTGCAGTATCTGTGCCCTGCCTGGAAGATGGCTTTTCACAGCTCTTCTCTCTATCTTCTAGCTCTCACTGTATAGGTATTTCTAAAGATGGAAGTTGAGAGGTTTGTTTTATCTTAAGCACCTTGTACCCTTACAGAATCTTTAAAATAGAGAGCTATACAAAACATCCATTGTTCTTATGACAGTTCAATTAATTAATACAACATGGAAACAAGGGCCCTTCTTTTTCTTCCTTGTCCCCTTTCATTATTGGAGCATTATCAGCTCTTTCAATTCTCCTGGACACATCTTTAATCCAGCTACCTGCCACAGCAGGAGTCTCCTTCAGGCCTAAAAACCCAAGTCCTCCTGCTGTGGCAGTTGTGAGTTCTACTGGCTTTGTAAATTTACCAGGTCATTAGAAAGTTGGGAACTCTTCACTTCCTTCATTATATCAATCCCTCAATACAACCACAGCCCTTCTAACATGCCTCCAACTGCTCCTCATCCATTTAACTTCCTTCTGTTGTTTCTTCCTAAAGACAGCATCAAGTTTTTTAAACTGCTCATGTTGGCAATGTTTTCAATGAAGTTTGAACACAGTAAAAAAACTTCTCTCAGTTAGCAAGTAGATAGGGATGTGTCAGAAAGAACATTAGGATAATTTCTATAATAAACACATTAGCCAATTTACACAGAGGAATGATCTGGTAATGTTCACATTTCTTTTAGACTGTATGTCCATCCATATCTGCAGTGTCTCTGTGCCTAAATAGACAGGAAGAGAAAAGGGGAAGCCTAATGGAGAAGATGGATATAAAATCATACAAACCACTCTCTATAATGTACACAGTTACAAAAGGAAGTGTAGGGATGGGAGAGATTCATAATCTACTTCTGTACAAATCAGGTCATATGACTAGCCAAATTAATTTCATCGGTACTCACAGATCATATAAAAAATGGACCTTAGAGTCATAATTCTTGAAGGGGTTCTTAAGTAATGGTTCCATATGACAGATGAATAATGTCAAGTCCCCTTTCATCCAGCACTCTACGTCCCAGTTTACACCTGCATTAAAAATAAACCGCATTAAACCTCAAAAACACTCTGAACAACCCAGTCAAAGAGAAGCACTAAATTGACTTTAGCAGCATTCTGACACTACTTGTGCTGCCCATTCCGAGAGGGGAGAAACAGGTCCTGCTAGGAGTGTATTTGCATGAGCCATTGGGTGCCTTCAACCATCTGTCAGTTTAGTACCTTCCACTCCCCGTCCCGCCGCCCTGCCCCAACCCGTTCTGAATCAGAGAATTCAATTCCATCACTATTTCTCAACTTGTTTTTAATCTCAAGCTACCCAAACAGGACATGATTCATTTTTATTTATCTTAGTTAATGTTTACTTTCCAAGAGAAATCGTTACATCAAGACAACTACCCGTAACCACTGGTAACTCCAGCTCCCAGGGACTGGAGGCCATCTTCTGGCCTCCATGGGCAACCAAACACATGTGCCATCATTCACACAGACACACACATATGTATAAATAAAAATGAAAGTATATATATATATATATATATATATATATATATATATATATATATATATATGACTAACAAGGCAAAACTAACTTAAGACAACACTAACGTATTTCTCCAAATGAGAAGTATTTCTAGCTATTGGGCACCTTGTGTGAAGGAGACACCTATAAGCAAAATAACAAATTGAAATCTTTGGTAGCCACAACTTACCCTCTTAATTTTAGTTACAAAAACTTCAATTTACTTAAAAGTTGTTACCCATTCAACTTTATAGTATAAAATTGAAATACATAGTATGGTAATCATTTCCCCTAAAAAAAGGAGGGTAATGATATTTTTATCATTCAAAGCTCATTATTAGGACTCTGTTCATTCTTAGCAAATTTAATAATCAATGGATTGACTAAGATATTCTCTTACTAATTAAAAAGCTTCATTCAAAATGACATTAATATTTATGATCTTAATTGGGATTATTCCTACTAACTTGTTTTTAAAATCTAGTTTTATAACATAATTAAGTTTTATCATTATGCTTTTTGTAATGATTTATTTTGTTTTATTTCTCTGTGTGTGTTTTGTGTGTGTGTGTGTGTGTGTGTGTGTGTGTGTGTGTGTGTGTGTGTGTGTGTCTGCATGAGTTTAAGTGCACCAAAGGTACAAAAGTTCACAGAGGCCAGAGGAGAGCATCAGATCACCTGGAACTGGAGTTAGAGGTGTTCATGAGCCTCCTGATGTGAGTGCTAAGAACCAAACCCAGGTCCTCTGCAAGAGCAGCAAGTACTCTGAAACACAGAGCATCTCTCCAACCCCTTCTTACTCTTAAACTGATTTCAACATGGGGTGTTTTCCCCACATAATCAAAGTGCTAAGCTGGGTAGGAACATCTGGCAACATCTGAAGATTTCTTTCGTTTAATTTAGTTGTTGAGACAGGATCTCACTTTGTAGCCCAGGCTGGTCTGGGACTCACAGTCCTACTGTCTTTTCCTCTCACGTGCCACTTTGACAGGCTGGAGACATTTATTATAGTTAGGGATAAAGATGCTTCTTTTATTACTGGGTAGAGACCAGGGCTACCATCAAGCATTCTGCAGAACAGAAGTCAGTCTGAAGAATTATCTGGACTGAAGGGTCATTAATATCAACTGGGAAATACAGCTAACACCACACAAAAGTCCTTACTCAGGTATGCCTATCCTTCCTACTTGGGGTCTTTTCATATAATTGAGTCAATTGAGTCTTCTCTGCTCCTTCAGAAGACTTAGAAATAGTTTTGTTCCTTCAATTTTCACATACAAGATTAAGCTGTCTGCTTTCATTATGTGTTTTTCTTAAGACAACAATTAAACTCAATCATAATAACATATTCTTTCAGGGAGATTCTTTGCCTGCACAATCATTATTATTTGTAAACATTTTGAAAATTTTGCTACTTCGACAGCGCTGTTAGTAATTTGATATTTTATCTATTTAAAGTGTGCTTTTTTTTTCTGCTTCTAAGAAAATTTAGACTCTAAAGAGTGTACTCACAAGTAAAAGAGTTCCCTTAATGACAGTTTTATAAGCTATTAAATGATCAGAGCATACTGATTAGTCACACAATGAATCCAAATTTTAATACTATATAAAATTTATACTATATGTGAATTATATAATAAGCTATCTAATTCATACACGTTTTAGAGAATTAAAACATTTTGATGGATACAGGCACAACACAACAGTGTACACTTGGGACACGAAAGTACTTACCTAGCTGTTGAGAAACTAAAGCCTTTACTGTTGAAGCTAGGGCCTTCCCTTCTGTGTTGCCTGCTCGCACAGAGCAGTTTTTACCTCGCTCATTCCCAAAGCAACAATGGAAGATGGTTTTGGATAACTCAGAAACGTAGACACTACTTGTATTGACGTTAGCTTCAACAACCACTTCAGAAGCCCCACTCAACGCTGAAGCATTCTTTGGGATTCCAGCAGGTAAAAGAAAGGAGTCCTCCGTTGTATTTGGTGGTGCACAGAACAACTTAAATCTCCAGGGAGAAATGGGATACGCCAAGTTAAGTGCAGCTATCACATAAAGAAATTCTGTCAGGACAGTAAAAAGACACAGACAACAAGTGATCGTTTTGACAAAGATGTAACTAGAAAGTGCTTGAGATTAGATGGTGCAGTACTCATAAACACTTAAGCTTTAGAGTGCTGAGTAGTCAGTACCACCTTCCAGTGTAGAAGACTTGAGAACTTGATATATTTACTGAATTAATGTCATTCTCTGGCACCTCCCCTTTTGGAAATTTCTGCATCAGTTTTCTTTACTAATCTGACAAGTTTATATTTTAGTATGAGAAAATTTACATTGATTCTCTTCCTTTTTATAATAAAATTACTCTAACTTTCAGAATAAATAAATATCTGGATGTTTAATTCTATCGCTAAGCACTAAAGCACTCAGTATTCATTGGGAGAGTCACAACATTATGTTAACACTTTTCACTAAACGCTTTCAGAGAAAGTTTGCCTTTGACTTAAAGATAGTTGCAAGGTCTCTTGAACCTTCCAAGGAACCTCTAGATGTGTGATGTCCTACAGGAAATGCCCTACCCACACCCCAGGAAATGATGCAATCAACAGACCTCCCTCCAGGAAACTCACACTGCAGGTAAATCATCACTTTTTAAACAGAAAACTATAGGCATTCACAGCCCTGCACCCCAAAAGCCTCAGATTTTAAGCTAATCTTTAAGTAAAAAATGTTTGAAAATAAACAATTGACTCTCTACATTTCTTCATTTTTACAAATGAATCTGAATGATCTGATGACTTTCTCTCTGTATATATTCACTTATGCACTGTGAATATTCTGAGAATTGTACATGGAATGAGAGTTTTTGAAGAATTAAATGTAACAAAGTGTAAAGAAACAGAAGCAAACAGAATGTTCTTTGGTGTCTAAATGGATAGAGTGCATAATTCAGACAAAGGCATAATATTCAGTTCAAAGGAGAATAAAATCAAGCCAGGAAAAGACACAGGAAATTTAACCATCACAATGACGCAATCTGTATGACTCCACCAAGGATGCTGGTCTCCAGGATTTAAGCTGAGCAGAGGGGTGAAAAAGCAGGATATGGAGACAGGTAGACAGAGACACTATTTCGTCTGATTCTATAGTAGAGGCAAAACGTCATCATGCATTTGTCCAAGGCCACAGATGGACAAAAGTGAACCCTGATGTGAACTATAGACTTTAGATGGCAATCATCCTCAAAACACAGGGAAAAGAATCTTTAAAAATTACACTTACAGAACATTTGTAGTTCCAGCACCTCAGGAGGCTGAGGCAGGAAGATCACTGGAGCCATCAGTTTCAAGACCAGCCTGGGCAACATTGTGAGACCCCTGTCACAACAGAAAAGGAAAGGGGAAAAAAAGAGGGCACAGTCCCATTTATAATAACTACGTTTAAAAAAATGTGTCAAGGAAGTGAAAGGTTTCTACACTACCTATAGAACACGAATGAAGGAAATTAAAGACAAATGGGAAAATGCTCTATTTTCATACAATTGAAAGATAGCTATCTTTAAAAAATTTTCCACTGTCCAAATCAATGCACAAATTCAATGTAATCACCAATAACATTCTTAACAGAAAGTAAACACTACAAAAGTTCATGTGAAACCACAAAAGACCACCAAAAGCCAAAGAAACCGTGATCAAGAAAAAAAACTGGCTCCAGTCAGGCATGGTGGCGCACGCCTTTAATCCTAGCACTTGGAGGCAGAAGCAGGCAGATCTCTGAGTTTGAGGCCAGCCTGGTCTACAGAGCAAGTTCTAAGACAGCTAGGGAGAGAGACAGAAACCTTGTCTTGAAAAAAATGAGCAAAGCTGCCTCCAAACATAGGACCAAGTCACTTAAGTAAAACAGCATAACGCCAACAACAACAACAACAACAACAACAACAACAACAAAAGATGCTTGCATCAACGGAGCAGGATCAAGAACTCAGAAATAAATCTGTGCACCTAGAACCAACTAAGCTTCAACAAAACTGCCTGCCGTAAATTCCCTGAAATGTTAATGGTCTCTTTAGTAAACAGCACTGGGGAAAAAAAAAAATGGGTATTTATTGGAAAAAAAAAAAAAAGAAACTCTACCCCCATCTTTCATCATATATTAAATAACAACATGGATCAGCGGCCTAAATAGCAGCCCTGCAGCTATGACGAGACTAAAATAAAGCTGGGAAACACTGACACTGACCTATGCGATATTTTCAGACATATTCCTAAGTGATAGGCAATTGCAGCAAAAAAATAGACAAAGATTATGTCCAACTCTGAGGAGCTTGACTACAAAGGAAATATTCCACAGAGTGACTGCCCAGATGTCAAACTACAGAATGGGATAACAAGTCTATAAACTGGGTGTTGCATATGGGATTAATATCCAAAATAAACAAGAGACCCCACACCCGTGTAGCACTAATTGAACGTAGTGGGTTAAAAAGAAAAGGAGGATATGAGATTGGAAGGGAGATGTATTTATTGGGATTATGGAGGTGGGGGAGTTGAATATAACAAAGATTTACCATAGACATGTATGAAATTCTTAAAGAATTAAAAGTACTCTAAAAATAACCCTATTTTAAGACATTCAAAAGACACAGACAAACATCTGCCAAAAGAAGATACACAAGGGGCTGGAGAGGTGGCTTGGCCATTAAAAGCACTTGCTGCTTTTCCAGAAGACCGGGGTTCAATTCCCAGCACACACATGGTGGTTTACAAAGCTCTGTGACTCTAGTTTCAGAGAATCAGAACCCCCTTCTGGCCTCCATAGGTACCAGGTATGCACGTGATGCACAGTCACATATGCAGGCAAAACACTCATACTGTAAAACAGAAGGAAGTCTACATGTAAGTGTCAATGGGTATGTGAGAAAAGGCTCCTCCTAACTAATTAGCACATAAGTAAAAATCAAAATCACAATGATACAACACCCCACTCCTGTTAGAAAGCAATTCTCAAAAAGACAAAACTGACAAGCATTAGCCAAAGGAAGAAGAAAGAAAAACCCTCACACACTATTAATGGGAGTGTACATCAGTACAGCCATTAGGGAAAACGGCATAGAGGTGCCTCAGAAACCGAAAAACGTGGCCCAGCTGTGGTACTACGGGATGTCTATTAAACAAACAAAATCACTCATGTTGATCACAGCACTGTTCATGATACAGAGTCAACCTAAGTATTAACAAATGAATGGATAAAGGACCGTTAATGTACACACATTTGCACTGTCCAGCTTTTCATTTCTATAGTGAAATGTTGGACACAGCCTAGCTTTACAATAAAAGGGGTTTAGTTTTGGAGACTTAAAGTCCAAACAACACAGCAAATACTCAAGGAAGGCAACCTAATGGTGTGAGCATCAATGGCAGGTGCATACTATGGTGGCAAACAAGTGAATAAACCTCCAGTCAAGAGCAGACAGCTAGATAAAGCCAGGCTTATTTGATAGGATGATGCTTTTATGAGAACTCAAGGAGTCACAAGCCCCAGAGTGTGGAAAGACCACCCACTAGGACCCAGAATTTAAAGGCTCCACAGCACTTCCTGACACCATCATCCAAGGACCAAATCTCCCATCACAATGGATCATGGGAGACAATCAACTTGCATCCACTCTACAGCAACAGATACTCATCCATAAAAAGAAGGAAGCTGCCATTCTCAATACAAGGAGGGCATATGTTAGTTAAGCCAGGCACAGAAAGGCAAACACCACATGATCTCATGGCCATGTGAATTCTAAATGAATTGACCTTAAACAAGTAGAGAGCAGAATGTGGATCATGAGGGAGCAGAGGAAGTTGTAGATGAGTTAGTCAAATGATACATATATTTATACCTAGACAGGAGGATGGTCAAAGATCTAACACATAGTGTGTCACCTACAGATAGCGACAATATATACATTCTTGGAAAATAGTAGGGGAGCAGATAGTAAGTGCTCAAAGCACCAAAATGATAATGTGAAATAATACAGTTATCAGTTAATGTCAGCTCTCCATATTTACAGACTCCAAAACTTCCTATGTGATAAATACATAGTAACAAAATACAAATACATTACAATTACAAATGAATTTGACAAAGTCTAGGCACTGAAAACTAAATAATAAACCAGGTTTCCCTATGTTAAAAAAAAAAAAGTCAAGGGTAATGTGTGGCTAGTTTCAAACAGGACAAGTTATGGTTCACTCCAGCTACAAGGCCATTAAAACAAACAAACAAAACAAAACAAAAACATCTAAAGAAGCTTCCTCTGAAGGGCAAGTCTACAATGGGTAAGAGGAGGAACAGGTATGTATTTAACTGTCTTGAAAAGTTGTGGTATTCAGTGACCATCTCAAACATATGCACCATTCCTTGATAATATCCCCTCAGAGCATCATACTGTCATTACTACAAAGGTGTATGCCTGTCTTTATATATGTGAATGTAGGGGTGTGTGTGTGTGTGTGTGTGTGTGTGTGTGTGTGTGTGTATTTCAGACCTTTACACTTAGACACCATTGGCTCCCCTGGGTCTGTAGTTTTCCAACGGCAGATTTTTGAACCACTCAGCCTTTGCATTTACATGATCCAGTTGCTTATAAACATCTTCACACGTGCACATGTGTGTGCACACATATGTACACACGTCATTGCCATCAGTTCTGTTCCTCTATGGAGCCTTACCACACAGCTAGAAGTCTATTACATTTTAGAAAGTTCTAAACATTTGTCTAAGACCAATAAAACCCAACAACAAGGTAGTTGGAATGTATAAACTAAAAATCTCACCAGAAACATAGCCAACTTCCCAAACACACACACACACACACACACACACACACACACACACACACACACACACATACACACATGAAATCAAATAAATAAAACCGAAACACAATGTTACATTTGTCTTATTTGACAGGGTAAAAGGTGAAAGAATGGTAGCATGCATTCCTGGTGGAACTACAGAAGAGCAGCTATTTATAGGCATGGGTTGGGACCACAAGACACCAAAACTGCTGTTCAATATAAAAGTTCCCTTTTAGATATTCATCTACAGAAATATCCTTCCAGATATACAAAGGAGCATGTAACTTACCCCAGTGTAACAAAACCACATAGAATTTCTGACAAATCATCTTACTTCAGAGATGTTCACCTGGAAAACAATAAATCAAAAATGAAACAATGCACATAGAAAAACTCACATGTACTGGCCGTCTATGAAAAATACAAAAGGAAAAATATTATAAATAAGTCTTCAAACTTCAATGCTCTAATACCTAGGGTCAATATTACAGAATGATTTCACATTAAATTATAATTTTTGTGATGCATATGCATTCTTACAAAGTAAAAAACAATAAATAATTAGAATTAAAAAGTCACTCTGTTTCTTTATGCCACACAACCCGGGCAAGTGTTCACAGTTTTGATCAAATACATAATAGAAAAATCTAATGACCATTAATACTAGCATGGTCAGGTTTTTATTGTCATCCTTATTTTACCTTATTTTCTAAAGTTATTGGTATAATACTACAAAGCCAAGCAGTTACGGCACAGGTAACAACTTTACATTCAATTTCAATAAAGGGAGAAAAAATTTCAAAATGCCTTTGTAAACATTAATTTTCAGATAAAGTCATGTTGATATCAGAGAAACCCAAAGAATATCTAATGGATTAAAACACCCCAATACTAGGGATAACTTCAGATAATGTTTCACATAAATTCTACTCAATCTGAAATGAAGAAATGCACTGCACATAAGGTTATTTCTTCTGCTGCCACGAGTTAGAATGATAAAATTTTAATATATTGGGCTTGGAATTGTGATGAAACTCTACATACTCTCTCTCTCTCTCTCTCTCTCTCTCTCTCTCTCTCTCTCTCTCTCTCTCTTTCTCTCTTTCTCTGTGTGTATATGTGTGTGTGATGTGTGTGTCTATGTGTGCAAACCAGAGGTCAACATCAGCTGTCTTCCTCTATAACTCTATCATTTATTTTTTGAGACAGGCTCTTTCTCGTTGAACTTGAAACTCACTACTTCAGCTAAATTGGCTAGCCAGCAAGTCTCTGGGATCCTCCTGTCTCCACCTCCCTGCATTTGGGTTATAGACATGTGCTCCCCCATTATGTAACGAATTTCTCTGAGATAAAACATTTCTTCATCTTTGAGGGGAGCTTGTTAAGAAACAGGATGTCCTAAGGGAGGTGAAAAAATTCATCCTACAGGGAATCTCTTTAAACTTAGGAAGTAAACAACTCAAAAGCTTCAGGAAGTCCCTGAAACTGGCCAGATTCACTAAGTCCCTCTTTCTCCAAGGATATATAGCAGTAAGGACTGCTGAGAGATACTCTCAGACAAGCCTAACTGCTCAGAAAAAGCAGACCAGCCAACCTGCCTGGAAGAGGCTAAGAGCACATGAGCGGCCTGAAAGAGGCACTTTCCGGTTTGCTAAGCTGTCTGCCAGCTGTGCAGTGTGATCCAGGTTGACAGTGTTCATGAGCTGATACCCAGGCTCAGATGGGCTTTGGTGATGCAGCTGTCAGTGAGTCATCTCTGCTCTTGTAAGTACCCCCTCACCTGAACCCCCATTGGTAACCCCAATAAAACTCATCAGTTGACTGAACTGGGTTTTGGTGGTGTCCTTATTTACTCACTCTCCACGGGGTGAGTAAATTTTGTCGTCTCTCCAGGAGTAGTGCCAATGCCAACATGCACTCTACCCTCTGAATCCCATTTCAGCCTTCCCTATGATCGCGAATTGAAGTGCAGTCTATTGTGTGGTGTATTTTGAAGTGAGAAGCCCTGAATTGGGTGTAACAAGTCTTAGGTGCAAGTTTAGACTCTTCTAACCAGCCTGAGGACTTGGGGTTTTAACTCTGCCCCCCAATTAGTTTGCAAATTTGACTGTTGGATGATCTCTACAACACTTTCCAGAGCTGCCTTTAACTGGGAGTTTTATTTTAAAATAGAAATATCATCTTCACAACATACACTGCTATAAATTATCAAGAAACATGTTTCATATGAGGAACAGCACCAGTTGATGGGTAAAGACACCATGGTGTGTTAGTTTCCAACTTTGCATATTCTTAGGGACCCTAGACATGTATAAGCCATTTGTAATCTAATACATTTGCTGCAATATATTTGTTTTTCAAACCCTGATTTTCATCAGAACTCTGGTTCTTTATCCACTAACATCACAAGGGTTCTTTGAAATCTCTATAAACCAGCTCAGCGCTTGGAGTCCTCATGACCTAATTGTAAGAAATGTATGCAAGACACACACACACATACAATTTTCATATTACCCATTCCTGGTATCAGACTTCTCATCAAAATAAACCCAAGGAGAATATTCATAATCAGGATGTGTCATGAACACAATGCATGGCTGGGTTGCCTTGGTAAACTAACTGTAATTCAATCCCAAAACAGATTTAATTCACATTTAAGTAACCCATCCACTAAGCGACCAAATGCATCAGTTGTTCTCTTAGATAAGAAGGCTTAGCCTGTGTTCACGGTCCCATGCAAAACAGAAACTATTCCTATAATGTTAATTCGTGCCACCAGCTTCCATTTGTATATGATAGAGAAACAATTACAAATGTGAATGGGCATTCAGTCTGTGAAAGTGGCTTCTTACACAGATTCAATGAGAGAAATATTCATGTGCACCCAAACCAAAAGGAATTTAAGGACATTTACAAAAACACAAACATTACATAAAAACAACAGAATTTTAAAACTATGATGAGGAATAATAAGCAAAAGACGGACATAAAAGATGTGCCAAATGGCCTATATAATATAATGTTTATAATCAGAGACTAGTTCTGCTACCAGCCTTGGTCAGACAAGCTGTGTGTGTGTGTGTGTGTGTGTGTGTGTGTGTGTGTGTGTGTGTGTGTGTGTGGTGGGCAGCAGTTACTGCTGGTCAAAGTCCAGAGAATAAGTGCTCGGGCCCAAATGGGATATCGATACCACCCCTCACTCATGTTCCTACAAGTAACCCCAACTAAACTATTTGGCCTTAGCAATAAGAGAGCAATAGTTGGTTCAAGAAAGAAGTTTGGCATACAAAAGAAGAGTTTCAGGAATGAGGTTTAATATGAGATAGGTCCTGAAGACCATTATATATTATATACACGTGGGAAAATTGTAACGAAACCTTTTGTTATATCTAAGAAATATGTACTAATAAAGGATTTTTTAAAAATCAAGCAAAGAGGGAACTAATGGTAAGTTGACCAAAATAAGTCTAACACGGTAAACAGCATTCATTTGAATATGTTTCCTAATAACAAGCCAGAGTTTCCATACTTGCTGACATCAAATAAATTCACAGTTCTTAACAAAAAGGGTGCAGATAATCCTAACACCAGACCCGTGGGCCTCTTTTATAAGGACATTACTACTATAAATGAGGTATTTAGCTTTAATCATATCCTTAAAGGCCTCATTGGTGTGTGTGTGTGTGTGTGTGTGTGTGTGTGTGTGTGTGTGTGTGTGTGTACACACACGCACGCACGCGCATGCCCACATGTATATGTGTGAAAATGGAGACCAGAAGTCCATATCAGATGTCTTCCTCAATTAATTGCCCACCTTATGTTTTGGAGACAGGGTCTCTCACTCGGACCTGGAGCTTACCAACTAAGCTAGGTTGGCTGGCCAACCATTCCCAGGGATCCTCCTGTCTCCACCTCCAAAGCACTGAAATTACAAGAGAGAGCTTGCTGTGCTCAACTTCTTTTTTTTTTAAAGATTTATTTATTTATTATGTATACAGTATTCTGCCTACATGTAGGCTTGCAGGCCAGAAGAGGGCACCAGATCTCATTACAGATGGTTATGAGCCACCATGTGGTTGCTGGGAATTGAACTCAGGACCTCTGGAAGAACAGCCAGTGCTCTTAACCTCTGAGCCATCTCTCCAGCCCTGTGCTCAACTTTTACATGTGAGCTATGAATTCAAACTCAGGTCCTTGTGCTTGCACAGAAAGCATACCCCCACCCAAGGCCCACTTCTTTAGTACTTAAGATTCAGTAGATAAATTTGGGGCTGATACATTCACACCAACCCAATAGTCATTCTACACTGACAGTGAAAAGGAGCAATGTGCTTAGAAGTCATTTCAACAGAAGGCAGAATCAGCATCCCCACACGAGAACAGAACTCTAACATGGAAATGTGTCAGACAGAGTAGGCTGCACCATCACCATCATCAATGCTTGGAATTCAGCCAGGAAAAAGGAAATAATTGAAAATAATTGCAAAAGCCTCTCCCCCCCTTTCTCAGAAATGTCAATCAAAGCCATCTATCTCAGGACTGGGGAGATAGCTTGGTGGGTCAGAGCTGGACAAGCAGAAGGACCTGAGTTCAAACACCCAGCACCCAAATAAAAAGCCATTCTAGCCCCAGGTTCTGTGAGAGATCCTGACTCAGAGGAATAAGGTGAAGAATGAAAGAACAGGACATCCAACATCCCCCTGTGGCTTCTACATACATACACAACACACACACACACACACACACACACACACACAAAACACATGCACACACACACCATATACAACACATACACATATACACACACCATCTATGACACACATAACACACACACACCATATACAACACACACCATCTATGACATGCATAGCACACACCCACTATATACAACACACACACACACACAAAGAGAGAGAGAGAGAGAGAGTTTTCCATATCTCCAGTTTAGCCTAGAAAGGTTTTCAAGGAAAAACAAGCAAATTCTCACCACTATAGACATAATAAGTTACCACAGACTAGCCAACACTTAGATTTGGGTGGTGACATCTGTGTGTCCACTTCCAACATGAACTAATTGATGAGAACACTCCGAGAAGACAAACTTCATAACCCAAAGAGGTGGGGCATATTATAAATAACCACTGGGTCACATTTGATCTATAATATTACTTTTCAAAAGTTTATTGTGGCCTTCCCTAGGTTTCTCTGTTCTCCACTCACCTCCCCCCACCCCCACCCTCCCAATTCCCCAACCCCCCCACCCCCCACTCCTGGCCATCTCCTCCAGATCAGATTCAGAGGAGGAGCCTCCAGGTCACAGATTGCCATTGAGGGGAGTGGAGGCAGGCA